GATGTGAGCCAAAATCAAGAGTTGGCCGGTTAAACAACTGAGGTGCCCCTCCAGGAGCTCCTTTAACGTGAGGTTCTCTGCCAGCGCCACGTCCTCTGGAATGTCGCCATCCTTTCTGTCACAACCACTTTCCTCACATTCATTCACGTCCTCTGGCTGCACATCTGGTCTCTAGAGCTGCGCAGTGCCATCGTGCCCACGGTTAGCTACTGCTATCCCTCTGTGTACCTTCTTGGCTGCACCCTCATTTTGTGGAGCGATCGGTTAGCCATTACAGTAGAAAGCGTGCAGGTCACCACAGAAGGGGGGACAGATCGCACGCTGTGCTGCAGTGAGATGAATCCCTGATCATGAGGCACGTCTGCTGTTTAAGCAGTGATCTGTGCAATGAAGGGCGAGTAGCAAAGTTTGTACTTCATGCAATTACTCAGTTAATGTCCAGTGTAGCTGGCATTTGAACCATGTTGCCGGGTGGCTGATGTTACGTAATGAGCCACGGTAACTGACATTCGTGCCCACTGCCTATGTGTAAAATACATTAAGTGACTTTTATGCTTATTAAACGGATTAGGCCCCTACTTTTGTGGGGGTGAGGATTCCTGCTTTGTGGGGAGGAGCCCACCAGGTTTTGAGTCCAGACAGAATTCTTAAATGGCCAGATATGAGTAGGGGGCTGGGAGGATAAGAACAGCATGGGCCTTCCCAGCTCACACTCTGCCAGACCACAGCAAATCTCTGAAATTCTGGAGTTCTCCATGTTACACGGTGGTAATATGAAGCTAGCAAACAATTCTAACACAAGTTTCTTGACAACTGAAACAGCTTATGGAGAGTTCTTCAACTTAAAAACATGCATTTTAAATACCACCTCCTTAAAATAGTCTCATTTGATTCCACGAGCCACATCGCCTATGTGCCAGACCCGCTCTAGAAGCGGACGGTGCGGCAGGAGGCGGAACAGCTATGGAGCCTGTGCTCAGGGGCTCGGCTGCTGGGGAAAGGGGTGCAGGTAGGGCCCCAGCGCTACAAGGGAGGTACGGGGTATCAGGACAAAACAGACAGCAGTGCAGACTGCGTGTTCCGGGACGACGGGAAGTAACATTTCTGCTGGGGTAACTGAGTGAAGTGAGTGGAGAGGAGGGAAGGGGACAGAGCTGAGGGAGGAGACAGCCCTGAGAAGTTGGGTGAGGTACGGCACAGCCGGCACACTGGAAACCCAGAAAGCCAGCACGGGGAGTGTGTTGTGAGTAAGCAGAGGAAGGGACCAGAAAGAAGTCGGAGGCCGCGGTCAGAGGAGGCCAGGTCTTGGAGGAGAGGGCGGGGAAGGAGGCTCCAGAGAGCTGGGCAGAGAGTGATACAATCGGATTCGCATCCATTTAAGAAGACCACTTGCTCAATGGAGAACGGCTTGGAGGGGAGCAAGAGTGAAGGAAGGGAGGCCGGTTTCACAGAAGAGGGTGAAGTATTCATTTTAATAAGCCAAATGCTTTCAATTTGAGGTGCAGGTTACAATAAAACACATCCAGTTTACGTGTACAAAGAGTCTGATTTAAACAGTGAGCAACCACCTGCAAACGGAGCTAGATTAGCCACATCCCTCAAATCCCTCATGTTACCTTGCAGTCAACCTCCACCCCCAATCCGATTTTCCACCCCTGTAACTACAGCTTAGGTTTTCTTTTTTGAAAACTTCATGTAAATGGAAGCGTAAGAATACGAATTCTTCCGTGCCTAGTTTCTGCTCTGCACTCCGAGAGTCTACATGTCTCGCAGGTGGTGGTTGTTTGCGGCTCTTCCTGATGAACAGCATCCCTCTAGAAGGCTACACCGTAGTGAGCTCACCCATTCACGGGCGCGTGGGCTTCTGGACTGTATCCCATTTTCGTTACGAACACCGTATAGTGTTTGTAAGGAAAGGTTTGAGTTCTCTTGGGTAAGCACCTAGGACGGGTAAGTGAACGTTCAAACTCATACTAAGCGGACTGTCTACCAAAGTGGCTACCGCTTTACACCCCCACCAGCACCAAGCGGGGGCTGCACAAGCCTCACATCTTCGCCAACACCGGGTTTGCCAGTGACCGTAAGCATCCCGCTGGGTGTGCGGTGCTGTGTTGTCACGGTTGCAGTCTGATGGCTGATGACACCGAGCATCCTTCCCCGTGCTTCCTGGTCATCCACAGAAAGACGTGCTTTTGTAAAGCGTCCTCCCAGTGGGGGGTTGGGCTGTCTTCTGATTACGGTACAAGCACATTTTATGTGACCTGGATGCAAGTCTATTGTCAAATGTGTGTTACACAAATTGTTTTCCTCCCAGTTTGTGGCCTGTCTTTTCAAATGTCTTTTAAATACAGAGGTTTTAAATTTTAATATTGCCAATTTGTTAGTTTTTTTCTTTTATGGTTTGTGCCTGTTGAGTCCTGATTTAAAAAAATCTTTTCGTTATGACAAAGTAACAAAGATTTTCTCATACGTTCTCTCCTAGAAATTGTATATAAATGGTTTCAACATTTAGGTCTATGATCCACTTAGAGTTAGTATTTTACATGATATAAGGCAAAGCTAGAGTATCTAGCACCTTACCTTGAAAATACACTCGTTTTCCCCAGGGAAACACTTTTGCTCTTTTGTTAAAAGTCAACGGATTAGGGGTGCCTGGGTGCCTCAGTCAGTTAAGCATGCAACTTTGGCTCAGGTCATGATCTCGTGGTTCCTGAGTCCAAGCCCCACGTCAGGCTCTGTGCTGACAGCTCGGGGCCTGGAGCCTGCTTCCGATTCTGTGTCTCCCTCTCTCTCTGCCCTCCCCCCTCATGCTCTCTCTCTTGCTCTCAAAAATAAATAAACATTAAAAAAAAAAAGTTAACGGACTATACATATTTGTACCTATTTCTGGATTCTCAATGTGGTCCCAATATAAATATTTTAAGTTCAAAACCACACACAGTCTCTATTCCACATTCTTCTTAAAAGAGTCCTTTAAAAGTATGAAAATTATTCTCGGCTCACTGACTGCAAAGAAACAGGTTACAGGCTTAGGCAGCTTGCTGCCCTATGTTTACTCCTATGCCAGCACCCACTGTCTTGATGCCTACAGCTTAGGACTGAATCTCGAAATCAGACAGGGTAACTCTTCCAACTCTGTTCCCCACCCCCACCCCCAAACTGTCAGAATACTCTAGGTTCTTTGCACTTCCATGTAAATTGAATCAGCCTGTCAATTTCTACACATACACATACACAAGCAAAACCCGATAGCATTTTGAGTGAGGAGGATGCATTCAATCTACAAATCGATTTTGGGAGAATTCACCTCTTAACAATGTCGTCTTTTCTGATCCAAGAACACGATACAGTGCTCCGCTTATTTAGGTGTTGTTTGACTTTTCACAACAAAATTTTTTTGTCGTAAGTATATATATACGTCTTGCACATATTTCGTTAAATTTATCCCCAAGTTTATCATGATATCTCATGCTATTGTAAATGTTTTCTTAATCTCATTTTCCATTTTTTTTTTGTTGCTAGTAAACAAACAACGGACTTTTGTGTATTAATCCTGACTTCTTGCTAAGCTTGCTAATTTTAGTACCTTTTTAGTAGAATCCTTTAGATAGACAGTAGGCACATCAAAAGTGCTCACAACTGCTGCATTAGGAAAATCAATTAAACACAATGACAGCAATTCATATCCACTAGAATGACTATAATCAAAAAGATACTTACAAACACTGGCAAGGATATGGACAAACAGCAATGCTGATACATTGCTAGTGGGGATGTAAATGATTCAGCCACTTTGGAAAGTAGTATGGCAGTTTCTTATAAAGTTAAACATACATTTGCCATATGACCCGGCAGTTACAATCCTATATAGCTACCCAAGAGAACTGAAAACATGTCCACACAGAGACTTGGATGTAAATGTGTACAGTGGCATTATTCATAAAACCCTAAAACTAGAAACAATGCAAATGTATATCAACTGGTAGATGAATAAGCAAAACGTGATCCATCTGTACCACTGAGTATTTAGTCAGCAATGAAAAGGAACACACTTCTGGTACACGCTAAATCGTGGATAAACCTCAAAAATGGTATGCTAAGTGAAAGAAGTCAGACACAAGGGACTACAAACCATATGTCTCTGTAAGTCTACAGAGACAGGAAGTAGACAAACGGCTGTCGGGGTTTGGAATGCAAAAGGTGCATGAGGGATCTTTTTTTTTTTTTAAGTTTATTTATTTATTTTGAGATTGAGAGAGAGAGTGAGCGAGCGAGTAAGAGTAGGGTAGGGGCAGAGAGAGGCAGGGAGAGAGAATTCCAAGCAGGCTCCACGCCGTCAGCACAGAGCCCAATGCAGGGCTCGAACCCACGAACTGTGAGATTATGACTTGAGCCGAAATCAAGAGTCAGATGGTTAACCAACTGAGCCACCCAGGCACCCGGCATAAGGGATCTTTTTGGAGCAATGTTTGGAAACTGGACTGTGCTGATGGCTGTACAACTCCATACATTTACTAATCATCGCTGACACTTAAAATGCATATTTCATAGGATGTAAATTATACCTCGATAAAGCTGTTAAAGAAAACCTAATGCTGAGTGAAGAGTAGGTTTCAGAATGTTATACTCAGTATGACAGAATTTAAATGTGAAAATACACACATACATCTCTATGTGGAAGCATAATATAGAAGTACAATACGAACACATACACTAGACACACACCGAAATCAGATACACTGGTTGCATCTGGGGAGGGAGAGGGACTAGGTCTGAGGAGCAGGACACAGAGAATTTTAACTGTATTTGCAATGTTTCAAACAACAATAAACACATGACAAAATGTTAACAATTGTCCATTTTGTGTGGTAAGTGCATGAATTTTCCCTGTTACTTATTTGAGACAGAGACAGAGAGAGAGAGAAAGAGAGAGAGAGAGAGAGAGAACACGAACACGCATGCACGAGCTGGGGGAAGGGGCCAAGAGAGAGAATCTTAGGCAGGCTCTATGCTCAGTGCGGAGCCCAATGCAGGGCTTGATCCCACGACCCTGGGATCGCGACCTGACCCAAAATCAAGAGTCGGACGGTCAACTGACTGGGGCCACCCAGGCACTCCTGAATTACTTTTTGTATTCCCACAGTTTTTTCAACCAAAAATCAAAACAAAACTAAATTAAACCCCAAAACCCGAAAGCAAACGTAAATGATTACCTAGTTCCTTCATTAATTTTAATTCCTTTATGGCTTTAATTCGAATCTCATACACCACCTAAAATAGAGAAATGAACTAGTGACTCTGCGGGAGAACAACGGGAGGGGACAGCATGAGGTCATCAGTGCGCACGTAAACAGGTTGGCTGCCTTACCAGTTACTGGACAGGGTTTCGGCCTACTTGAAAAAAGATTTTTTTTTCCTATCCCTGAAATTCATTTTCTATCTTCTACCAAGTTAAAAATAAAAACTCAGATCTTAATAGTTAAGATTTTACCAAACTGATGTTAACTGGAGCAGAAAGAAGACACTTATGGAAAAACTTAAAGCAATTCTAGCTACAAAGGCAAAAAGCTGAAAACCCACTAACCTTTTTAATGAGAGCAAACAAAAGAAAACAAAGTTAATGGTATTTGTTTATGTTATGAATGACGAATTCAGGGCCAATGAGCATAGAAAATATAAAAATGTACAATGCTAATCCAAGGGCACTATTTAAATCTGTTTAAATCATTTTATCTATATTGTTTTTTTTTTCCTTTTTGGTTTAGGCTAATTGCCTCTAGGGCATGAAACTGGAAATTCAGCGGTAAAGTGATGTCAGCGATCACGGACAGGATCCTCCCAGCAGCGCCCCAGAAGGTGCCAAGAAGGGACAAGGACTGAGTAACCAGGACTCCCCAAAGTCCTCACTTAGGGTCAGGATGGCAGGTCTCTCGAGCTTCAGGGCACCAGCCTTATACTGTCCCCTCTACTGTACCAACAAATATTAATGCACTGTAAGAAATTAGAGTATTTAAAGAAAACATTTTAACAGGTTTCTTTTGATGTTATAGATAAAAAAACCTCAATGAACTGAGAACACGTGAATATAAAAAGAGGTTTCCTGGAATGATGCTTAAGGAAATGAGGGTCACGGTCTTCAAGTGGAAAAGTGAAGAATCGCTTTTAAGAGCAGCTGGCTTTATTACAGAGCATGTAGAGCAAATGAAGATCAACAACAACACAACACAAAAGTAAAACATATATGCCTGGTTTAAAAGATAGAGAAAAGGTTGTAGGAAAACAACATTTTATATTTATCGAAGCCAGCAGATTAATAATTAATAGGCAATTAAACTAATTAAATAGGCAAATCCTATATTCTAACTCCAGCCTCTAGAGGGAAAAAACGGCCCATATTTTCTTGAAATAAATATGCCACTGATACAGGTAAACGAGCAGTAATCAAATGTTAGTAATAAAATTTTTATTTCCTCCCCCCCTCCCTTTTTTTTTTATTAAAGTAGGCTCAACGCCCAACATGGGAGTTTGAACCCATGACCCTGAGATCGTGAGTCGCATGCTCTACTGACTGAGCCAACCGGGTGACCCCAAAAGTTGATTTCTTTAGATCTAGAAGCCCACTGAGACAACTGTCCTGAAGACTTTGGGTACTGCTTTCCATGTCAAATTCTGTCCGACTAGAAAACCGTCCTCCAAACTTGAGGTGTAACCTACTCACTGTGTTCATAGTTGCTGATATCTTAACTTGCTTCTCCTCAGACTCCACCTCGCATAAATTTTGAACTTGGAGCCAGCTGGTCTCACTCGCACCAGTGAACCATTTCCCTTGTCTGAGCAGCAAACTGTAGGGAAAAAGACATTTAAAAAAATGGGTTTTTACACAGCACTTCTACAGATCAGAAAGGATCGGAAAATTAACACTTTCCCTTATGCGCTATTTCCAAAATTCCGCAGGCATCTCTGACGTGACTGACTGCAGGTAACCAGGGCGTACGGAGCTGGCTTTAAGAAAGCAGACTATGCTTTTAGGGCAGCGTTAGGCAGTAGGTCTACAGGGTCTGTATTCAGGACTCCAACTATTCTTTGGCTCATACAAATAACCTGGTGCCACGTTTTTCATCTTGTGTGTTGCCACCGTTTTCAAAGAGAAGTGTCAGAGCGCTTACACCTGCACCTGGAACCACCAGGGAAGCCGGCCCAGGGCACGGAGGCTTGGTCTTCGCTTCTCCGTTCCCCAAGTCCTAACACACATATGTTATTTTTTATAAAGGAACGTATAATAAACTTTTAAGTTAAATCAACAAAGTGCGGAAATAAATGCCTGGAAAACACTCGTCCCAAAGAGTGGTAGTAATAGATGTGATACAAAATAACAGCGGTTCTGAGCACCCTATGTCACGGCCACCATTACTGACAATACAGAGCCTGTAATGTAAGCATATTCGTGGCACTGGTCAAGGAGCGAACTCATTTGTTGATGGCAACCTCAAGTCCTCAGTAGACGGAAAGCTGGTGGGTGACGGTGAAGGACACATTGACCACAGAAAAGCACCACAACGGACGTGGGTGACAAGCGGAGAGACGCGGCACTTCGGAGCATCCGTGTGACTCATGGGGACCGAAGTTATAATTCCCGACATTAAGTGCCATTTCTGGGCAGATGGGAGGGTCTCAGGAGTCAGAAAAAGGATTGTGATGAAAACTGGAGTTGCCTTCTGGGAATCTTGTGACAAAATGGACAAATTTAGCTGTATCTTAATATCCTCCTCATGAAAAAATTCAGGAACTTTGTGAGAATGTGCCTTCGGTTTTGTAGTGAGTGCTAATCAGAACTGATTTGCGAAGATTCTGCTTTATAAAAAACCAGACTATATCTCATCTACACCTATATTACCGGCCATACTTACTGGAAAAATTAAAAAAAAAAAAAAACCCATTTCAGTATCATCTTTCCTCCAAGCTGCCTAACCCAGAACACTCCTGTATACGGTGCACAAAACACAATGTTTAGAAACAGAAGGAAAATACTGAACTCTTACCATTATTAAAATAAAGCTTTAGAGTTCTAAGAGATAGAAAAACTGTAATTAAAATTTCTTAAAAAGGAATTCTCTTATGTTTCAGCAAGCTACCTCTTATCATCGTTAGACTCCTGAACGAGAACCGAGCTCCCGTTCCCGAGGCCCTGTTCTCTGAACGTCTTCTTCAGATCTTCCTCGGGAATGGCGGCCCAGTTCTCTTCCCCGACAGAGTCGGTGGTGCTGACGAAGAGGACGGCTACGGGCATTGCCAAGGCTGTGAGCACAGCCCGCACTTCTGCATTGGACGGGAACACATGTGGGGCCTCTACCAACTGCTGACACTTTTCCCCCCGGCTGCTTGCTGCGAGATGAAGAACATTTATGAGCACAGGCTCACAGTCGCTACCGGTTGGAATGTGGATGCCACCAACCTACGATGACAGCAAGACAAGTGTTAGTATAGTTTCTATCTGCCACGATCAAGTCAACAGAACAACACAGTAAAAGACTACTCTTGAAGAATTCTCATTCTTTTTCAAGTGAAATACAGTTTTCACAAATGTCTTGTATATATCAGAAGAACAACTCTAGATTTTTCCATTGAAACTTTCTCTTAGCCATTTTTTACTTTCTAGGAGAGAAATCTGGAGTGGAGACAGAGACGGACGAGTCCCCAGTAGTGGTAATAAAGCCTCGGGGAAAAAACAACAACAGAAAAAGAGCCTTGGAAATACAGGAGATGAACCAAGGGCAGTCCACCGAGTGGGTGAGACGCTCCTTGCCCCTTTCCTGACTTAGAAAACTCACTCTGCTCTTGTAGGTAACTCCTAGAACTCAGTGTAAGTATTTGCCCCCTTCTGAACTCCCTCAGGGAATATGCACAGATCCCTACTTCAGCACCCGGATCAGTACAATTATTTACACGGAACGCATGAAGGACTATTTACTTTTGAATGGAGCATCTGGCTCGATGGAGGCACTCAATAAACGTCTCTTTAGCATATAACTAACACTGATTATACCTACAATTTATGAGACATTTCAGACTTTTTCTAAAATCTAGCTGCCTTCACGTATGCTGAATAAAGTTTTATTCAACAACTGAAAAAAACAGAACCATCACAAATATTTCTTCAATGTATTTTTACCTCCACCCCATTCCATACAAAGATGTCTTCCCCATCCTCAATTTCCATTTCACACAGTGTCAGGTTATCTCCTAGGAAGAAGAGGCCATCAGTGAGACCACCTGTCATGATCACCAAAGACAACCGAACAAAAACAAAAACCTGAGACACTTAAATATTTGTTTGAAAAAGCATTCTCATAAAGGAAAATTAAGGAAAAGGCAGTCATAATATTATACTGGTATTATTTACTATTACTCTTATCTTAAATTTTTTTAAACATTTATTCATTTTTGAGACAAAGACACATAGCACGAGCAGGGGAGGGGCAGAGAGAGGGAGACACAGAGACACATCCAAAGCAGGCTCCAGGCTCTGAGCTGTCAGCACAGAGCCCGACGTGGGGCTTGAACTCACAGACAGCGAGATCATGACCCAAGCTGAAGTCAGACACTTAACTGACTGAGCCACCCAGGTGTCCCGATATTATGTTTATCTTTATTCTTCTCATCATACTCTTACGGTTTTTTTTTTTTTCCATTTTATGTAAGCATTTCCGCACTGTTGTTATGTATGCCTCCCGAGCATGAGAGCAGGGGAAGCACTGACCGTAATGAACACCGTACAGGAGTGAGCTTAGGCATCACATGGCCTGGGACCCAGCACTAATTAGCTATCTGTCCTGTGTGCCTCGTCCCCAAGCGTCAGTTTTCTTGTTTAGGAAATGGAGATAAAAGAATTTTGTGAAAATCAAAGGATACAATTTACAGAAAACTTATCTCAGTGTTTAGCACAGTGAAGTCCAAAATAAATGTCACTGCAGCTACTGCTATTACTATTGTTTCGTTGTTATTCACAGGTAGCAAATACTTTTAAGTTCTCAAAGTATTTTTGTCTGCTTTGCTACAAAATCTGTGGTAATATAAAAAAAAAAATCCAAAGCCTCTCAAAAACTTGTTTTGGTGGAGAGGTGCCCTTAATTTGAAAAAAAAATATAAACCACGTCTGTGCTAGCAGAATTCACATAGAACATAAATCAGATAAATTAGTTCTTTGAAAACCGACAATGTGATGATAGCCTAGTTAAGGAAGTAGCAAGCAGGGGGAGAGACCGGCTAAGAGAAGACAATCACAGAGGAGATGATCAAAATATAAATATATGCGATGAGTTGCTGTATTTCAGTTATTTATCTTACCATCCAGCATCCGATAAACGTGAAGTCCTGCAGGAACAAGCTTTGCCACACTAAGCACCAGATCTCCTTCCCAAAATTCTAACAGCTACAGAGTATTAGTGGAAGAAAACAGAACGATGGGAAGTAACATTAATTTCACATTTCCAGGTGAAAGAATCACACTGTGCAATTTTACATGTGTTTAGATGAAACGGGGAGCTAGCAAATGAATACATCCATCCCACCCAGCACCAAAAATGTGGCAAGGAGGCATCACTCGTTGCTAAATAAGCCAAATCCAAGGATGGTTAATCTCAGCCATTAGCGACCGGAGAATGCCGCATACACAGTGAACGTGATGACCACCCCAATGACTGTACTTAATTCACGGGGAAGGCCCCTTCCACGGGAAGGCACACTGATAGCATGCCAGCCCAAAAATCTTTGTCCAAAGAGCAAGAATCATTCGTTTCACTAGCACTGTGCAGGGAAAAGCACACACCAACATTTTTGTTAACTTGAAAGGAATGTTTCCCACTATAAATTCAAAAAGTAGCATTGCCAGTTTACAGAATAGTATCACCATGGATTTTTTTTTTTTAAGTTTCTAGATCTAAGACTCTGGGGACTGGTCATCTCACCAGGATAACATCGCCTGTAAGGGTCAGTCCTACTTCATTCCTCTCCACAATACCACAAGGTAGCTCCCTTAAAAAGAAATCTCCTCTTTACACGTGATTAGTTAACTGAGTCAACCCTGCAGCCTCTTGCCAATGTCTTACCTCCAGAATAACAGAGATGTGCACTTAAGACACCAGAAAGCAGACTGGAGCAAATTTGAAACTTACGAAGGTGAAGAGGTCTTTTCCATCTGAAAGGTCCCCCTAGATGGGGTCCCCTTCCCAAACCTACCTATAACAACACTGCCTGGACTGGCTCAGGAGTGAACTTTTAATGCAAAAATTCAGAAACACTAGGAAATTTCAGAAATCCTGATACGAATCCAACATTTAAATATCATTCAAATCCACTAAAGTTAAAAAAGACATTGGCCTGCTTTTCTTTGTACGAGAGGAAAATCAAGAGAAAGTGAATAATTTTGGGAACTGATAAGTGTTTTTTTAATTTATTTTGAGAGAGAGTGAGAGTGGGAGCATGAGTGGGGGAGGGGCAGAGAGCGAGGGAGAGAGATCCCAAGCAGGCTCCACGCTGCCACAGAGCCCCATGAGATCATGATCTGAGCTGAAGAGTCAGATGCTTATAGACTGAGCCACCAAGGTGCCCTGGGAATTGATACATTTTTTCAGAAAATTCATTTATTCCTGCAAGAAATTAATGCCTACATTTTCTATTTCCCTTTTCCTTGAGTAGGAAGTAGCACAAGGTGAAAAGGTGTGATTAAAAGGAAGGAAAGAGTAAGGAGACCAGGGCCTAGTTCTACCACAACCAGAAGGCCGACCGTACACAAGCCATTAGATGTCCCCAAACCACAATTTTTTCACCTGTAATATGGAGTGAGCCTACCCTGGTTGCCGTGAGATTAAGAACCAGAGGACATGATCTACATGAAGGCACTGGAAGTAAAGTAAGCAGCACTGTTCTCAGTAAAGCACACCTGGACCGGTTACTCAGAGGAAATGACTGACGACGAGGCTCGTTTGTACTGCACACCAGGAGCGATTTTCCTTCACTGAAAAGCTTCAGTAATAATGCTATTCTCAGGGCGCCTGGGTGGTGCAGTTCGTCAAGCATCCGACTCTTGATTTCGGCTCAGTTCGTGATCTCACGGTTTATGGGTTTGAGCCCATCGGGCTCTGTGCTGACAAGTGTGGAGCCTGCTTGGGATTCTCTCTCCCCACTTCTCTCTGCCCCTCCCCTGCTTGCACACTGTCTGGCTTTCTCTTTTGCCTTAAATTTTTTGTCTCTTAAAAAAAATTTAAAACAACAAAAGGCTCTTAGGAAACGCTACTTAGGAAAGGGAGAAGTGTTAGATGCTTTTGTTTGTTTAGCTCTTGGTTTTGGGCAACATGCTCATCTTTATTTTTTCTCCTCTTTTAACAAATAATTTTCCAAAAAAGGGACAGTCTTATACTCTTTCTCCCCAGATAAAATATACCAGGCTTGATTCTCCCCCTGAAAACCTGCTGGCAGGACAGTGTGGGTCTCAGCATGCAGAAAAGCCTCTCTGAAAGATGTACACAGAGAGAACATCTGGGGCAACCCTCATGAAGTGGCAGCCGTAGGATTTTAAGTGGCTTTGCAAAAGAAATAGTTGTCTCCCAAACAGGGTTTTTGAAAAGGAGAGTCCAGCTTGAGACGGACCTTAATGTCTAAATTAGTAAGAGGAAGCAGGGCTAAATTACCTGCAGTATTGACTGTCGAAGATCTCCTAAAGTTTTTCTTTTATCAAAGGTGAAATCCCACATGCTTTCTGCTTGAGAGACTGTCGGGTGCAGAGCCCCATTGAAGAAATGATAATGAGGGCCCAGGTGCAGATGCAATTCAAAACTATTGTTTGCAGAATCACATTCTGCCCTTTAAAGAGGCATAAAAAATACACAAATGCTAAGTTTTTATAACAGACACTGTTTCATCCCCAAACAAAAATACTTGATTTACAATATAAATAAGTTCTCTATTCCACCTAATTATCACTAACGTCCTTTTCCTCCATGCTCCAAAAGTAACTCATTTTAGTTTCTCAATGAATAGCAAGTTTTCAGCTCTGCCACCATGAATTCCAAGGAAAACGAATTTTAAGACACACTGTGCAATATTATTCTGAAAAAGTATCCACGCTCAGAATCTTCCAACCCTGAGACTACAGTTACAAATATGCTCGAAACCTCTTCCTGTAATGCGTTAAGTGCCAGATTTTTAAACTTCTGTCTCACCCTTACTTTCACTAGACCCCGTAGACTCTTCCGTAAAATATTTAGAGTGGATCTCAAGATCCTCCAGAGTCTACTCTCCCCAGGTCGAAGGTCCTCAGCTGCAGCCTGGTGCCGGCTGCTTTTCTCTGAATCCGCTCGGCTCCCCCAAGGCCAGTGCTGGCTACTCCACTCCTGGCAATCTGGCCAAGGGAGAGCTGGGTGAGGCCACGGCTCAGGTTCTCCAGACACAATTCTATTAATGTGGTCAAAGACAGCACTAACTTTTCTGATGGTCACATAAAAAAGCTTAGTGCTGGCTGGCTAAACCCATTACGTTGTTGCTGCTGTTGCTCTGAACACCCGCTGCTAATGTGCACCCATTCATGCAGGTTATCTTTCCTGTTTAAGATGTTTTACTCTAGGTTGTATATTTTTAGTGTCTTGATTTCCTTTGACAGCGGTCTGCCATTCAATCCATTTGCCACCTTTTTCCCCCCAGCTTCAAGTCAATGATAAAAATGCTGAACACATCCCTGCTACATAATGAGCCAGCCACGTGGAGACCACGAGAACATCCACTTCCCTAACCCAATACCCCACTGACCCTGTCAGAGAGCAACTAAAGATCCAGTTTTTCAGGGTCCAAGCTGACACCTCAAAAGAGAACAGGAAATCATCAAGTTCTCACAAACCGCGCTTGGGATACCCCGTTAACGGGTTTCTGACACAGAGTTCGCAGAATCCACATTCCTTCCTTTTACCCACCTTCGGTCTTCTGTCACTACGTGTCACTTCTCCACAACTAAAATAAGGAGGGGTGATTTTCACAGCGGGCCCTTTGTACCTAGAGCACCACCTGACAGGCCAGGATACAATTCATTTAGCGGACTGTGTGTTTACCAAGTTCTCCAGTGTTCCCAGGCTTCATCCCTACTCGGCAACGGCCATTCGTGTGACATGATTGCATTCGCTGTCACAGAGAAGGATCATTTCAAAGCAGAAGATACTCTCACTATAAAAATTCAGCAGCTACACAGACACTGGCATTAATTGACTTTTTTTTTCCTTTTTAATTTTTCTGATTGAATACTTAAGACCTAAATTAGATCCTCATTCTCCAGAAAAACCATTCGAACTCTAAAAGTAGGTCAAACTCACCTTTTTCTTTGCAGTTCAATGTTGGCCGCATCCATTTCATTCAGCAAATGACCTGGAACCCCGTACCTTGGATTGGCTCGAGCTGTGAAAAAAAACGTCATTAACTTGGGCTGACTACACGAACTCTGGTTGCTGGACACCTGGCAGCAGGGAAAAGTAGAAAGTGCTGGGAGCTAGGAAAGCTTGTACTAACTATCTCTGTGAACACGAACCTCTCATGGATCTAAGCTCTCCCATCTGAAAAACGAAAACGTTACAACAAATGAAAGATACATGGCTCTTTAAGCCAAGCTAGTAGAAGGAGTCCATTTCTTTGATTCTCTTTAAATACACTTTTAAAAAAGAACACCATTTTCTCCCTGATAACAAATGTAGTAACTGGTCACTGCAAAAATTCTGGAAAGTATTTTTCCAATATAAAAGAAATAGATATTACCTGTAATCGCATTCCCAAGAGATACTCCTAAAATTTATTATATATACTTCTGGTCTCTCTTCTATGTACCTGCGCAACGTGTCTGTACGTGCACACACGCATGTGCACACATACACACGCTTATTTAAAGTGACTGGCACTGTATTTAACAAATCTGTTACATGCTTTTTCATTTCACATTTGTGTTTCTCCAAAGTTTTAAATGATTGCACAGTAGTCCATTCTATAAATAGCAGAATTAATCTTACCAATCTTTTCTGTTAGACATTGGGGTGATTTCTAGTCATTATTATAAGATAACGGGAGTAACGAACATCTCTGACATCTTTGAACATCAATATTTATACACAACTCTGATTATTTCAAGACCAACTTGTAGAATTACTGGTTTAAGGTTTTTAAATACACATAACCTAATCGGTTATACTATTTTATATACCTAACCAGACGAAGTGCCAACTATCGAGAACAAGATTAGCAGAAACATTTTACTTGGCAGGAAAAAAGTGGCATCTCACTGCCGTTTCAATGCCTGTTTTTTGATTATGAGTTAGGTTGAATTTTTTTTCCTTCACTTTATTGGTTGCTCTTCTTTCTTCTTTTGTACATTTGCTTATTTATATCCTTTTCCCAATTTTCTATTAAGCACAATGGAATATACACGAGAGCACTCTGCAGACTGGAAATAAATGTCATATATTTTCCTGTTTCCCACAGGGCTTGTCATTTGCCTTTTAGATTATTAAATGTTTGTAACATTTTTCCTTAAATTTTCTTTTTTTCCTTTTAAGCTTAGAAAGGTCTTCTCTACCTTAAGATCAGAAAATATATGAGGCGCCTGGGTGGCTCAGTCAGTTAAGCGACTGACTTCAGCTCAGGTCAGGATCTCACGTTTCACAAGTTCAAGCCCCACATCAGGTTCAGTGCAGACAGCCCAGAGCGTGCAGCCTGCTTTGGGTTCTGTCTCTTTCTCTCTCTCTCTCTCTCTCTCTCTCTCTGTGCCCCTCCCCCACTTGCAGTCTATTGCTTTCTCAAAAATAAACGAGCATTGAAAAAATTAAAGAAAGGAAAAGAAAATATGCTTATACATTTTAAGGTTCCCTTTTAACAAAAACATTAAAGGAACTCGAATTTCATTCAAGCGACGAATACAGTCACTTGATTACACTGACTGCTAATTCAAGTGATTAGTAGCTTACTTCCAGCTCTATTTCTTGAGTGATTTCCCTTTCCTCCCATTTAGCTGAAAAGTTACCTTACCACGGGTTAAAACCTTAAAAACCCTGGACGGGTATCTGGGCTAGCTCTACTCCAGTGATCTGCCCACCTCTCCACATTAAGCACTGTGCTGTCTGAACTGCTGGAGCTTTTACAAACAGGTTTTTACTGATGGAGTAAATTCACTTCAGTAGGTCCTGCATCAGTTTCCATTAACTCACCTCTCCAGGTGAATTTAGAATCCTTTTGCCATGTTCCATCCCTTTATTCCCCCCAGAAGTCCATTAAGATTTCAGCCAGATCTTTATTCAATTCATAAGCTAACTAGAAAACTATCATTTAGTACCTAGTCAAATCATACACATACTAAAATTCAATTTGGGGAAAAAGAAATACTCCATCTGAACACGTTCTTTTTTGTTGTTAATATATATTTCTAAAACTGTGAATTTTGCCTTCACAGTATTTTTATCAGAACCATTACTGTATTTTTTCCCCCTTCAAAAAAATAAAGCCTAGAATTTCTGGTTAAACAGAATAACTGTGTAACAGTTTTAGATCCAGAAATTTTATTTCCTTTGACTCATGTGCAAATTAGTAACTGCTCTCTTCTTGTTCTTTATAAAAACGATTACTATTTTCATTCTCTAAGAACAGTGTCCTCATTTGCAACCAGATTTGCCTGAATCCAAGGAACTTCCCTGGTTAGGATTTTTACTTTTGAGTGGACTTTGGGAAGTGACCGAAGTCTACACACTTTGATTCATGTTAGTGCTTTCAATTAAAAATGTATCACTGTGGGGGTGCCTGGGTGGCTCAGTCGGTTAAGTGTCCAGCTCTTGATTTTGGCTCAGGTCACGATCTGCCGGTTTGTGGGACTGAGCCCCACGTCAGGCCCTATGTTGACAGAGCACTAGATTCTCTCTCTCTCTGCCCACCCCCCCAAATAAACATTTTAAAATAATGTATCACTATGGGTCTCAGTGTTTAACCTCCCTGTCTTATGAGCTGTCTTAGAAGGTTTAACAAAGAATGTTTTGAAGATACTCCAATTGCTCAGAGACTACATTAATTATCTTGAGGGAAAGGAAAAAAGAAGTAAAAGGGGACATATGAAAACAAGACTAGGGCCCCTTACAACTCAAAGGCAACAAACACATGGCCAAACGACACAGCCAAGCCTAAGCATAGGGCAATCACAAGCAAGTCGGTCCACACAACAAGAACCCATTATGTGATCCAAGCACCCAATTTTGAAATACTAACTATGGCCTCATATTATTAAAGGAGAAAAAATAGAAATATATAATTATAAAATGACTGTTAGATATCTTTTGCATAATGTGTTTCCTCCTGTTAATCTTGAAAATATTTAAAAATGTTCCAAGGGGCGCCTGGGTGGCGCAGTCAGTTAAGCGTCCGACTTCAGCCAGGTCACGATCTCGCGGTCTGTGGGTTCGAGCCCCGCGTCGGGCTCTGGGCTGATGGCTCAGAGCCTGGAGCCTGTTTCCGATTCTGTGTCTCCCTCTCTCTCTGCCCCTCCCCCGTTCATGCTCTGTCTCTCTCTGTCCTAAAAATAAATAAACGTTGAAAAAAAAAATTAAAAAAAAAAAAAAAATGTTCCAAGAGTAGGGGGGCCTGGGTGGCTCAGTCGGTTGATCATCCGACTTCGGCTCAGGTCGTGATCTCAGTCCGTGAGTTTGAGCCCCGCGTCGGGCTCTGTGCTGCCAGCTCAGAGCCTGGAGCCTGCTTTGGATTCTGTGTCTCCCTCTCTCTCTGCCCCTCCCCTGCTCATGCTCTGTCTCTGTCTCAAAGATAAATAAAAACATTAAAAAAAAAAAATTAAAAATGTTCCAAGAGTAAACTTTTTAAGTTTATTGATTTATTTTGAGAGACAGAGACAGCATGAGTGGGGGAGGGGCAGAGAGAGAGGGAGAGGGAGAATCCCTCCTCGCTGTCATTGCAGAGCCCATGTGGGACTCGTACTCACGAAACCGTGAGATTATGACCTGAGCTGAAACCAAGAGTCAGATGCTTAACCGATGAGCCACCCAGGTGCCCAAGAGTAAACTTTCTTTTAAAAGGGTAAAAATTCAAACAGCATTAAATATTTATCACCTAACGTTATCAACTTAAACAAATAGAACATTTTTCTTTCCATACCTTCAGGGGGTCTCTGCAACTGGGATTTCCGATAAAACAACATGTAGGCACTTTCTTTACCCTGAAACTGCTGTTCAATATCTTTTTCCTTGATTGGTTGGACTTTGGAATCATTTATATCAAACCAGTGGGGACAGGAGTTTCTGTCATTTAATCCTGGGGATTCTGAAGTATGCATCTGGAAAAGGTGTTGATCCTTCTTTTGAAAATCGGACTCAGCGTGGAGAGAACCATTCTTCAAGAGACTAACTGTACTTTCATCTGAACTGAGCAGAAATATCTGAGAATGAAGCTGTAAGAACTAAAGAGAGACAAAAAACAAATACTAAGGTTAATAAAAAAAATATTTTTTAAATAAAAAACTACATCTTCCTTTCTGTGACTAAATATTTGAACTTCACCTTTATTTTTGGCCTACCCAGCTAAGAAGGGAAAAAAAAAATCTGTTTGAGTCCTGATGAGACATTTAATAACAATCAGAGTGCTCTCCTTTAAACAGTCTAATAGTCACATCAAGGGAGAAAGCTGCCGTGCCACAAGCCAAAAAATACTTTAATTATACCTCAATAACACTAGTTTTGAAAAGTACTTTACTAAAATAGATTAGGCAGAACAAACACTTTTGAGATGTTTCAAACAGAGTATAAACAGAGCATAAAACAAAGGCAATCACAACAGTGAAACGTTACGGAAGAGAATTTCAAAACTAGTGACTCAGACAAACTCTGTCTGAGTAATAAAGGAATAAAGTAATAAAGGAATAAAGTAATAATCATAAGCTGAAATTGTCATTTAACATGGACTAAATTGAATGTTGTCTGTCCAGGAAGCTGACAGGTTAGCTCAGGAAATCAAAGCACAGAAGGCTTAAGTCTTAATCCTAAAAACTATTAATCAAGTTCTCGCTAAAGGGTTAGAAAGAAAAAACCATTCTTCCCTCGTTGCCTATCCCCTCTTTCAGCCCTACTCTTGTCCCTTCTCACTCCCTGATTGCTGTGTGGCCTTGCATCTTCTTGCCTCACAGCACAAAGTTACTTTATGCAGGAAACCACCTGGGAGGTATGCACAACATCTGCTTAGTCCATCAGTCAATATGGAAAGGTGACTCTCTCATTTTCCACTTGGAAAGAATGAATGTGCAGCAATGCTAACTCTCTCATCAAAGTAGGATGGTACCACCAACAGAAGGGAATGAGTATATGACCCAGACAGTATTGTTAACACTGTGTATAAAAGATAGTAAAATAGTTTTGTAGCTAATTTGTTTACGTACAATCAAATAACAGTTTGAAAACTTTGAGTAATGAAATTTCTGGTTAGCCATTTTTTTCTTTGTTTAATAATTGAGGATTAATTCTTTTAAGCCTCAAACTTGGCACAATCTGGTCCCAGTAACAGCAGAGAACTTTTATTGGACTAACTTTCCTGATAAGAAATGATAAACTCTAGACAAAATAATGAAAACAAATGTTTGGAGAGTAACCAAAAATAGGCATAAAACAGGGGACATAATCCTTCAAAGGGAAGCAAACTCGATGAGTTTTACATTAACCCACTGCTTCCCAGTTTGTAGCGGTAGAGGGGTTCAAGCAAAGGGCAGGAGTCTTACTGAGCCAAGGAAACAGAATTTGAACATGCCAGAGAGGCTAGAAAGTGAAAGAGCCGTATAAAGGAACCTCAAATCTACTCCAAATCCCCCTAGAATCCTTGGCTGACTCCTGAACAGTATATGCACAATCCAAGATGCACAAAACCCCACAGGAAGCAACAGCTGGCAGATTCTATCTGAGCAGAGACTTTAGCATCCTGCTGCTGGATAGAAGAACGTGAAACTAAAGTCCTGGCAAGTTAGAGGAGTATGACAAACATCTCAGGCTTTCCACTGAAATCCTAGAAGGGCCATGCCTTAGGCTGGGGGCTGGCAAACTTGTAAAAGGTTGGACAGTAAACACCTTAGGCTTTGTGAACTTAAGAGGCAAACTTCAGGACATTATGTAGGCACCTATATAGCTTTTTAAAATAAATAACCATTTAAAAATGCAAAGAGAGTTCTTAGCTCAGAGCTGTACAAAAACAGGCAGTGGCCATATTCTGGCAACCTCTGTCTTAAGAGGGAGGACCAGGCGTGTCTCAGGACTAATAGCAACACTGCAATAGGCCCACCCTACAAACTGTAAAATGAAGCTACCAGAGGATCAAGACGATTCAAAGTAATTTAACAGCCTGGTATGACATACTGTGAAACTCTTTAGAGAACAGCACCCATAGGCAATATAAGATTAAATGACATGCAAAACAGGACAGTGTTTTTCATAATCAAGAGATGACATGGTCAATTCACAAGAGAAAAAAAAAGTTAATAGAAATAGACCCAGAAACGATCCAGACATTATGATACCGAGAAATTATTACAAATACTTAATTTATATAGCTTAATAAAGCCAATTAGACTTTCAAAAATGTATTTAATTTATAAGAAAGGATGAACAGAGTGGGTTCAGATAGGGAGTTTCAGTGGAGAAACGGACACTCTCCATTACAGCTAAGTGGAAATTCTAAAGCTGAAAAATACAGTATCTAAACAAAAAGTTCACTAGCTGGGCTTAATGGAAGACTAGATATAGCAGGAGAACCAATGACCTTGAAGATGAAGCAATGTAAATTATCCAAATTGAAGGAGAGGTAAAAATTTTCAGAAAAAGAAAAAAAAAAAAACCCCAGTTATCTAACATCTGTGAGGAAATCCAGAATGTTCTAATACATATGTAACTGTAGTCCCAGAAGGAGAAGAGAGATAATGGGGCAGACGATAAATTAAGAAGACAGTGGCCAAAACTGAAGAAAGACTTTAAGTTACAGATACAAAAAACTTAGCAGATACAAAGCAATTAACACAAAGAATACCATACTGAGACACATTATTGTTAAACTGCTAAAACCATGGGGGGCCTGGGGGGCCCAGTCGGTAAGGGCCAACTCTTGGTCTCAGCTTAGCCATAAAACACTGCCCTGACAGTGTGAAGCCTGCTTGGGATTTTCTCTCCCTTCTCTCTCTCTGCCCCTCTCCAACTCACACTTTGTCTCTCTCAAAATAAATTTTAAAAATAACCAAAAAAAATAAATAAACTGCTAAAAATCAAAGAAAGAGAAAAAAAATCTTAAAAGCTGGCAGAGAAAAGGACACATTACGTTCAAGTCACGGAACCAAAATAATGGAAGCCAAAACATAATGGAGTGTCATCTTTAAGGTACTGAAAGGAAAAAACAAAAACCAAAACCTATAAAACCAGAATTTTATATCCTGCAAAAATATCCCTTAAAAAAACTGAAGACAAAATAACAAATTTCAATCAAACGAGCCAAGAATATTTTCACCAAGACTTGAAGAGGGACATTCTCAAAAGACTTGAAGTTCTATTACATTCCAGGGCAGTGATACCAGATGCATGGCTGAATGTGCAAGAACCAGTGAACACCAGAATGGATAAGCATAAAACACAATTTTTTCATTCAGTTTTTTAAAAAGTTGCTTGGGGAGCCTGGGTGGCTCAGTCACTTAGGCCTCCGACTTCAGCTCAGGTCTCGATTTCACAGTGCTTGAGTTTGAGTCCCACCTCAGGCTCTGTGCTGATAGCTCAGAGCCTGGAACTTGCTTCGGATTCTGCATCTCCCTCGCTCTCTGCCCCTCCCCCATTCGTGCTCTGTCTCTTTCTCAAAAAAATAAACATTAAAAAAAAAGCTGCCTGAGTGTTTAAAGCAAAATTTAATAATAATAAAAATAAATAACGTAGAGTGGAGTTTACCTGTAATGGTAAAACATAAGACAACAGCAGAAATGCAATTACACCACTGTGAGCATGTGACACTGTTCATGAAGTGGTGTGCCATGAATCTGTAATTGGTAATATGGACTTACGTATAATATGATCCCTAGAATAAAAAAAACTACAGAAATACAGCTATTAGCCAACAGAGGAGATAAAGATGAAACACTAAAAATCACCTGATTAATCTAAAAGGTAAGTAAGAAGGAGCAAAAAACAGGTGGCAAATAAAAACCAAATACCTCGATGGTAAATTCAAACTCAACCATATTAATGCATTAAAACCAAATGGACTACACATTCTAATTAAAAGAAACTTATCAAACTATTATCTGATAGAAAACAAACAGCATAGAAGAATCAACACATACAAAGTTACTTTCTTAAAGAGTTTAATAGATGTGATGAACCCCTAGCAAGACTGATGAAAGAGAAAGCCGAAACACCCAAATTATCAAGATCAGAAATGAACCAGGGAACATCCGATCCTATGGACAGTAAGAAGGTAACACGGTAATATTTCAAACAACTTTATGCTAACAAATTATGCTTTAAATAAAAGGAGAGATTACTTAAAAATCACAATTATCCCAAATAAAAAAGAGCCAACTTCACACTGCAAGAGACACACTTATATAAAAAAGCTTGCAAGGTTACATCAATACTAGACAAGGTAAATTTCAAGGCAAGGAATATTAGCAGACATAAAGGAAGGGCACTGTATGTCAGGAGGCCATAAAAATCCAAAATGTGTATGCACCTAATGGTATCACTTCAGGGTACATGAAGTAAAGTTGTCCAAAGTAAAAGGGGGAGGGAGAAATCCACCATTGTTGCTGGATATTTAAACCAAAAGACACAACCAAAAGACAGAAAAATTAGTAAGGACAGAGAAGAAAACAGAACACTATCAACCAATGTGACACAGTTGACATTTACAAAATATATCCAGCAACTGCAGAAAATAACTTTTATGGTAAATTCTGAATATTCAGCAACACAGACCATATTCTGAAGTGTGGAACAAATCTCAATAAATTCAAAAGAATTAAAATCAGGGAGAGCATGTTCTCAAGAGTAAAATGGAATTAACTAGAAATCAATTTATGGATATAACAAAAAGATAAAAAGAAATCCCCAAATATCTGGAAATTAAGCAACACATTTACACACACACACACACACACACACAAGGGAGATTACAAAATATTTTGAACAGAATGATAATGAAAACATGCCAGATTTGGCTGCAGCTAAATTAGTGCTGAGAAGGAAATTGACAGCTTTAAAAGCATCTATTAAAAGGAAGGTTTAAGGGCGCCTGGGTGGCTCAGTCGGTTGAGTGTACAACTCTTGATTTTGGCTTGGGTCATGCTCTCATGGGTTCATGGGTTTGAGCCCCAAGTTGTGCTCCATGCTCTATGCTGGCAGTGCAGATCCTGCTTGGGATTCTCTCTCTCTCTCTCTCTCTCTCTCT